TTTAAAAAATTCTCAGACTCCTTGTGTCTGAGCTAAGTCCCTTGCTAGGTGATGCTTCAATGGGGCATTGTACCTACCCATGGATAACTGACCACGTTTGACCTAACTCCTGACTGGTTCCCCTGTCCCTCCATTGTCGAGTTCACAGAGGGCAGAGCGGAGCCTCTCACAGTCACAATGACAGTTTTATCATCTAGAGCCAGGACTGGCACCAGGGCGTTCAGTGTTCCCTGAACCACAGACACTCACCTGCTCCAGCTCTCTTCCAGGCCCCCAACCATCCTCGGTCTTATTAGAAAGCAGCGGTGAAGGTTGTTCTGCTTGGGATGTGGTGCCTTTTCTCTGAGATCTTGCGCAGAAGAAGACAGGTCCAAATCTTTGTGCTCTGTAGGTTAGAGATTGTGCTGTGCTTCATAGCCTACATTTTCTCTACTTTTAAATGAACTTTTAAACAATAAAAGTCCGGCCAGGTGCCACTGGCTTATGCCTGTAATCCTAGCTACTCAGGAAGCTGAGATCTGAGGATGGTGGTTTGAAGTCAACCTCGGCAGGAAAGTGTGTGTGACTTTTATCTTCAATTAACCAGCAAAAAGCCAGAAGTGGAGCTATGACTCAAGTAGTAGAGCACCAGCTTTGAGCACAAAAGCTCAAGGATAGCACCTAGGCCAAGTTTAAGCCCCAGCACTGGCACTAAATAAATAAATATATATATATATATATATGCCCTACTCCTAATTCTCTTAATAAGCACTAAATATTTTGTCATTTGCCAACTCAATATTGTTCCCTTCCCAAAGATAATTATCTGGGTTCAGAAACCTGTCTGGGTATCTGTGTGTAAGTTCTCCATAAAACAAACAAAAGTTTGAAGTGTACAAATCAACTTTTCCAAATACTAGCCAAGCTCTCTAGCACTATACCCCCAGCTAATAATAAAATTCTTGAAATTGGAAGTTATCCACTACATTCTTCAAGCCTGTTACTGATTTCAGCCTCACTCTCATAGAGCTACATTTAAGCTAGACATTTTCTTCTGTCTGAGCAAAGGAGGGTGCCTTACAAATCCCTTCAAAATCACTTTCTTTAGTAGAACACGGATCCTTCCATTTGAATCAAGTTGGACTTTTTCCTGATATGTTTACTCATTAGTTTTCAGAAGACTGAACTCACAAACCCAAGTAAGCTCCAAATTGGCCTTTTGCCTATTCCCCAGACTCAACCATTCTCATATTCCAAGCCCATCATTCTTATACTAGCATCACATACCATCCACACTATTCCATGAGTATTTTAGGTCATCTTCAAGACTCTTCTATTTTTATTTATTTTCAACAACTCTGACCCTGCCGATATTCTTTGTCTCTGTCCCTGATGAGAGCACATCACCACCGTATCAGAACCGTAGGAAGTGAGTTGTTGAAGGGAGTGGGAAGCCATATAATAGCCCACTCAGGTGTTGCTCACCAGAGACTAGGAAAGAAAATAACTGTATTTACCTTCTCAACTCTGTTGACTTTAAGACAACATAAAACCCAGTGGACACTGGTCACATCTAGAGATGTCTGAGAAAGACCTGTTCCTCTTTGGTCCTAACCATCTATGCTGTGGAAGGGTGGGCTCAGAGCTGTGGTTCAGAGAGGTATGGCTTCCTCTCCTCAGTAGGGGAGGCTTTGGAGGCCCTTGATGGAGGAGGATGGAGTATCCATATCCTCATCTCTCCACCTCCACCCACTCATCTAAACAGCTCTGGCCAGGAAGTGGTGTGTCATGAAGCCACCTCCTGACCCGAAGGCTCAGCACACCAGCCCTGCCCTTGGGACAGTGCCAAGGCCTCTTTAATTACAGGAAAGGCAGTGTGACCTTGGAGACCTGAGGGCCCAGCGTGACAATTAGAATCAACTCGCTGGCTCTCCAAGTCCACAGTTCTCTCCATTCCCCAAGCTCTGTCCAACACTAAAAGCATTGTCAGTACACAGCGTTCCACTTGGCTCATGAAACTTACTCTTGAAATTCCTCCTACTTCCCTCCTTTGATCCTCATCTTCCAAATCCTCCCATCGGAATGAATTCCCTGACTTGCTTGATGGCTATCATGTTTACCACCATCCAAATGTCTTCCCACTCTGGGCTCTTCATCTAATGCTAATGCTCATGTTCCCTCTCCTGTGCAGCATCAATCCCACAAAATCTTTCTTTCCTTAATGAAAACTTTGAGGTTTTATAGCTCTCCAACACTCATACTTAATGAATCAATGTTGGGTTTTTGTAACTTGATTTTGTTTGTAATACACTTACACATTCATTCCATGATTACCAATTCATTCCATGATTACTTATGGAAGAACACTGTTCCAAATGTGATGAAAGGTAAAACAAGATTCAAAATTACCTCTATCCAATATAAAAAACAGAGGATGTAGAGGAAATAGCTCTGCTATTACTAGCCTTGTCATCTTGAAAGGCTTGGTTGGCATGCCTGAGCCTCAGTTTCCCCACTAGTAAGGGGACGTTAATGTCACAAATCAAGTGTCATGGTGTGATTTGATAACACTGTAGGTGAGCTGCTGTGAGTGTGTAGTAAGAGTGCATTGGGCTGGGAATGTGGCTTAGTGGTAGAGTGCTTGCCTAGCATGCATGAAGGCCTGGCTTTGATTCCTCAGTATCACATACACAAAAAAAAAAAAAAGCCAGAAGTGGGATTGTGGATCAGAGTACTAGCCTTAAGCACAGAGAGGCTCAGGAACAGTGCTCAAGCTCTGAGTTCAAGCCCCAGGACTGGCAAAAAGACAGTGCATTTTCTTTGCCTGAACAAGGTTCAGGGGAACACAGGCTGGGACGCCAAAGAAATTTACTGTCTAAGTAGCCACAGACATAACCTGAAATAACTGCTATCAAATTGTTAAGTTCTAAATTCTCTCCATTTGGTAGAGTGCCAGTGGCTCACATCTGTAATCCTGACTGCAGGGGTGGCTGATACCAGGACATTATTGGTCCCAGGCTAGCCTGGACTGAAAAGTCTACAGACTTCATCTCAGAGGAAAATGCTGGACATGGTAGCATGCACCAATAATCCCCGCTGTGATGGGATGTCTGAAACAGGTGGACTGTGTTCCAAGCATCTCCAGGCAGAAAGTAAGAACCTATCCTAAAAAAAAATAACCAGTAGGGAGAAAGGGGGATTAAGTGCCTGTCGAGCAAGCATGCGGTCCTAAATTAAAAATCCAGTACCTCCAACAAGAAAAAATTTTTTCCATTCAATTTGATTTTTTATTGCCTATACTTTTTCGTGTCATAGCCAAGATATTGCCCAATCCAGGGTCACAAAGCTTCTCACGTTTTCATCTAAGATATTTATTGTTTCACAGGTGATGTTTATTTATTTGATATGTTTTAAGTTACTTTTGTATATGGCCCAAAATAATGCTAGACATTTATTCTTTGGTGTGTGGGTAGCTAGCTTTCCCAAGACCGTTGGTTAAAAAGACTATCTTTTCTCCAATGAACTGGCTTGATACTCTTTTCCTGTCTCCAACCACCTTCCTTTCTGACTTCGATCTTTTTTTTTTTTCTACTAAGTTCACAGTCTCAAAAGAAGAGAGTTGTCTGTGTGTTCTAGTAAGGTTTACACTGAAGTTTTGCAGAAGCACAGATCCCAGCTTCACACTATATTTGCTATGAGGACTTGGATAAGTTACTTATACCCTTCCAAACTTGTCATCGTGAATCATCAAGGAATGTAACAAAATATAACAAAGTGGTCACCATGCTGTTATAATATTAATGAAGATAATTGATGATATCAAAAATTCTTATTCATTTTAAACCAATATTAGTGATTTTAATTGGAATAAAATATGATAGTCAACATTAAGTTTGTTAAAGCAATAAGGAAAGGTTATTAACAAAGATACCTTTGCTTTTTAATAGGAAACCATCATTTAATAGCAGTGGAGATGTGCATAAATACAGAAATAGGGAGAAATGAGCCCCAAAATAAATTTTCACATAAGGTTAAAGGAGAAATATATGATAAATATTTATGGACATTCTTGCCTCTTTTAATTCGCTTGGTTAACTTTACTATTTCCATTGTATAACTTTGTCATGTAGATTTTGTTACAGAGTTTTGCACCTAATGACTTACAGCACGTTGATGTCTTTTCACTTTAAAACTTTTCTTATTGGTCCCACGGTTGTATACTCATTTCTTCTCCATCCTCTTCTGTCTTATAGGAGAAATAACCTTCTCCAAGACCTCCCCCATGATAGAGATCTGCTACAGCTGATGAGCTGCTACTGCCTTGCTCTGTTTAGCCCACGCCGAACACACGATTTCACCTTTTGCTTCAAGTGAGTAAATGACATCTATGTCTGAAACTTACATATTCCACGGAAAAAAAAAACTCAAACAACTCTGTCCTCAGTTTGCTCATTTGCTCCAAGTATCAGACAGGGGTTACTGCTGTAAGACATCTTTGAAGTCAGCCTGGAGATAGAAAGAACTGTGGTCAGGGCTGGGAAGGTGGCTCAGTGGTAGAGCGCTTGCCTTGCATGCATGAGGCCCTGGGTTCGATTCCTCAGCACCACATAAGCAAAAAGAAAAAAGCCGGAAGTGGCGCTGTGGCTTAAGTGGTAGAGCACTAGCCTTGAGCTGAAGAGCTGAGGGACAGCGCCCAGGCCCAGAGTTCAGGCCCCACGACCAGACCCCCCCAAAAAAAAGAAAAAAGAAAAGAAAGAACTGTGGCCAATGTCACAGAAAATTAGAAAAGCATAACGAAGTCATGCTTTCACCTTAGGTTGCCTGTATGGCACCACATTGGGGTCTGGGTCGGAAAACGTGCCATCATGCAGAATTCCCCAATGCCCAAACCCAAAACAAGGAAGACACTAACACCATGAGACCAGCTGAATGCTATTTCCTAGAGATCATGGAACATATGTGCTTTATAACCTGAGAGAGAGAGAGCACAGAAAAAAAAAACTTTACCAATCTGTTGCCTTCTATCCTGAGCATCTACCTCTCCTTAAAACCTTCCACAGAGCCCCCTTCACATCCTTGTTCCTCAGGGTATAAATCAGAGGATTGAGCATGGGGGTGATGATAGTATAAAAAAGGGCAACAAACTTGCCTTCATTCTCAGAATAACTGTCCTTCGGTTGGAGGTAAGTGTAAATGGCTGAGCCATAAAACAAAGAAACCACCACAAGGTGAGACCCACAAGTTCCAAAAGCCTTTCTACGCCCAGCCATTGACTTGATCTTCAGCACGGCCCTGCCAATGTGTGCATAGGAGCCTAGAATGAGAGCTGCAGGACAGACCAAGATCACAGCCCGGGCCACAAACATCTTGGCCTCTGTTCCTCCTGTGTCCTCACAAGCCAGCTTTAGGAAGACGGGCATCTCACAGAAGAAGTGATTCAGGTGATGGCCACAGAGAGGCATGGCCATCATCAGCCCTGTCTGAATCAGAGAGTTCACCAGGCCTCCCAACCAAGAAGCAATGGCCAATGACAAGCAGAGGATGGGGTGCATGATGGTCGTGTAGTGGAGTGGACGGCACACAGCAGCGTAGCGGTCAAAAGCCATCACCACCAGGAGCATGCTCTCAATGGAGCCAAGGGCCAGGACGATGAATAGCTGGGCCACACAGCCGGCATAGCTGATGGTCTGGTCATGTCCCCGCAGGCTGATGAGAAGCTGGGGCACGGTGCTGGTGGTGTAGCAGAGATCCAGGAAGGAGAGGTGGGAGAGGAAGAAGTACATGGGCGTGCGCAGCCGAAGGTCCAGCCGGGCGAGGATGATGATGGTGGTGTTGCCAAAGAGAGTCAGGGAGTAGAAAATCACAATGTAGATAAAAAGAATGAATTCCAATTGAGGCCAGTCTGAGAAGCCCACCAAAATGAAGCCCCCTCCAAAACTGATGTTAAAAATTCCCATGCCCTTTAACAGCGCGAACTGCAGAAATATCTCCCAAGAAGAGGGCAGATCAAAACATTGTCTCCATGTTCCTTAAGTACTCCTAAAGTTAAGTACTCCTAAGACACTGATCCTTAATCACAGGTTGAATATGTGTGTGTACTTGCATGCAATTTATTGTGTGTTTGGATAGTTGGTTCTGTTCAGTCCTCTATGATGTTTGCTTCTTTAGACTGCAAATCTGGATGCAGAATGTGGTCGCCTTTGTTTAAAGCAGGTAGCTCTGCTGCCACTGTGTCCCGGACATTCAGTAACCAGCCCCCTCCATCCTGTAGACCTGATATTTCTATGACTGAAGGCAGAGATGATATTATATTTCCTGTCTCCCAGCACTGAGATCACGACCTGGCACCGTTACTTGGGAACCCCGTTTGAAAGTCTGAGATGCAAAAAGGTAGCATTAGTACTGTACTCTGCTCTCTTTTGCTCTTCTTATTCTACTGCATGCTTTCAAGTAGTTCATTCCAGACTTTCCCCTACTAAGGATCACAAACCTAAGCATCTGTGTTCATCTGCTTCCCTCTGCTCAGTTCATATGGTCAGGGCACCAATCCTTGAAGCCTGCTCACACTGGCAGCTACTGTCTGTCACAAAGGAACAAGAAAACTGTACATCCATTACCTTGGGGAGGAAATCAATGACAAATACATTCCTGAAGATGACCAAAAGAAATTCCCACCGCCCATTCCTTCACTCGCAAAGCTGTGGTCCACACAATGAACTGTTCTCTCCTCTCTAGCTGAGTCTTCTTTGTACTGATTCTTTCTAGGTCTTATTCGGTCATTGAAATTCTTACATGACTTTCTTTCTGTGAGCTGTGAGCTTCTCAACTGTAGAGAGCAGATTGAATCAGACGGACGGACAGACAGACAGACAGACAGACAGACAGACAGACAGACAGACAGATAGATAGATAGATAGATAGATAGATAGATAGATAGATAGATAGATAGATAGACAGATATCTTCTTTATGATACTCAGGATATGCTAAATTAATTATACTTTCATTATTGGCACATTATAACTGTTAAATAAATGCCATTCCTTGAAAGATTGGCTCTTCATCTAAATGTCATGAAAATGTATTTCTTCTAAGAAACCTGAAGACAAATTGCTAATACTTGTTGATAAATTATGGAAGGGTAATAGGTATAACACAGTGTACTGAAAATTGGTCTTTCTTGTGGTAAAAAGCCAAATAAGTTCATATAAAAGAATGTCAGAAAGCTAAGAGAGAGAGAGAAAGACAACAGAGAAAAAAGAAAAGGAAGAAAGAAAGGTAGGCAGAAAGAGAGAGAGGGAGGGAGAGAGAAAAGAAAGGAAAGGAAAGAAAGGAAGGAAGGAAGGGAGGGAGGGAAGAAGGAAGGGAGGAAGGAAGGAAGGAAGGAAGGAAGGAAGGAAGGAAGGAAGGAAGAGGAAAGACAGAGGGAGGGAGGTTTCTCAAGTCTCTGAGTGCTTGAACCAAGCAAGTTACCTCGAGAGCAGTCTACTGACTAACAAAGATGGGCTGCTAAACTGACCATCTTTGCTCAAATCATCTTGGGAACAGGAAAACTTTTAACTACTGTGAGTTAAGAAGTCAAACCAACCAGGTGCCAGTGGATCATGCCTATAATCCTAATTACTGAGGAGGCTGAGAGCTGAAGATTGAGGTTCAAAGCCAGCCAGCCAGGGCAGGAAAGTCCCTGAGACTCTTATTGCTAATTAACCAGCAAAAAGCCACTTGAGGTACATTTCACATGCTAGCCTTGTACAATAAAGCTAGAAGACAGCGCCCAGGCCCTGAGTTCAAGCCTCAGTACTAATGAGCGCACACAGGCACACGCACACGCACACACACACACACACACACACACGCTCAAGAAGTCACATCACCCCAGCTTTCAACATCTTAGCTTCTTTAATGGAAAAAAATGAATATTAAAAGCAGTGCTTAAAACAGAAGCCAATTATTAACAAGAACCATGCACCATAGCTTATAAGTGTACCTAACCAGAAACCTGCTCATCATCTCCACACCCCAACAGTGTCCAAATACACCTTACATGTCCCTTCACCTCAGACAGTGTGTCTCAGCCAGTGGTGATTTTAGTTGCTAGAACATTTCACAGACCATCACCTGCCCCAGCTCTACCAAGTCCTTAGGCAGCGTAAAACCTTGCAGCGGCCAGGTGCTGGTGGCTCACTCCTGTAATCCTAGCTCCTCGGGAGGCTGAGATCTGAGGATCACAGTTCAAAGCCAGCCCAGGCAGGCAAGTCTGTGAGACTCATATCTCCAATAAACCACTGAGAAAACCAGAAGTGGTGCTGTGGCTCTAGTGGTAAAGCGCTTGCCTTGAGCTGAAGAGCTCAGGAATAGCACTCAGACCCAGAGTTCAAGCCCCACGACTAACAAAAAAAAAACAAACAAAAAACCTTGCAGCATCTCATGAGAAGAAAACAGCAAGCAGGCTGGCCATCCATTCTCCTCAAGTGAAGAGGAAGTTTCAAAATGACCAGTTCTCAAAGATTTCCCAAATCTATCAATTCTAGGAATGGCATAAAACGGTATTAGGCTGATGTAACTGGTTGCTAATGACACCTTGTTTTATAGGAACCCTCTCTAAATGCTTACAAATGAGCTCTCTGTGTCCTCACGTTGAAATAAAGCGTATTATCCAACTCCTTCTACTGCTTAAATAGTTTGGAGTGTTTTTCAAGTTGTTGGCCATAGGCTTGAAGCAAAACTTTGGCAAAATATGCACAATCAACAGAGAATAAAACCACTGAAAAGCATTCTGCATGAGAAACAGGAGTTTTTCACCGAGTAGGATAGAAAACAAAATGTTAAAAAAAAAAACAGATGAGATAGCTTTATATTTATGATTCAATATCTGTCATGAAGAGAAGATAATGAACATGCATGATTCTTCTCCAAAGGCCCAAAGTAGGAGCAACTGGCAGAATTTACCCAATTTACAAGGGGATAAATCATGACTAAATATAAAGAGAATAACTAAAGCAGTCTAAAACAAGACGACTTGGAAAGGATTTCACTTGAACTCTTCCTATCCATGCAAAGGCTAAAGGATCCAGAACATGGTTAAAAGTATTGACTAGAGGGCTGGGAAGGTGGCTCAGTGGTAGAGCGCTTGTCTTGCATGCATGAGGCCCTGGGTTTGACTCCTCAGCATCACATAAGCAAAAAGAAAAAAGCTGGAAGTGGCGCTGTGGCTCAAGTGGTAGAGCGCTAGCCTTGAGCTGAAGAGCTGAGGGACAGCGCCCAGGCCCAGAGTTCAGGCCCCACGACTGGACCCCCCCCCCAAAAAAAAAGTATTGACTAGAAGACTGGGTTAGTTTTCTGCTCTTAAATTATCCTTTTTTACAATATCACCCCTGCTGTTAATGCCACTAAAAAAAAACAAACAATCATTTGACATCTGCATGTTTGATATTGTTGATTGTTCACATCAACACAGATGGGACCTGCATTCATGTCTTCGTATCTCAGTCTGAGTGCTGGGCTCTGTGTTGGTTCATGGCTTCCATAAATAATCAAATTTTCTGCAGGGCTGTGAATCAACCCTGGGGTTTCCAGTGTGCCAAGTAAGCATTCTACCACGGAACTGTACCCCCAGCTAATAACATTTTTTGAAATCAGATCATGTACTACATCCTTCATACCAGGCTGGTAATTTGATAATCTTGTCTGACTATAATAGAGTCTCATTAGAGCCAGAAAATTTAATTTTCTGTCTGAGTGAAGGAAGAGGCTCTATAGATTTCTTATAAATTGCTTTCATCCATCCTTTAGCTGTAAGCAAATTTCCCTTTCTCCTGTTGTGTTTGTGTGTGTGAGTGACGCCCTCGTTAGTGTTTGGAAGACTGAAGTCACTACTGAGCCTAACTGAGTATGAGGTGCACCTTCCACCCATGCTCCACCACACAACATCCACACTAGCCCACAAGTATCCAAGGACATCTTCAAGACTGTTCTCATAAGTAGCAATTACACATCAAATTTTCTAGTATAAAAACAGGAAGGGACAGCCAGGATGCAGTCAGCTTAATTGACATTCAAAACTAAATTAGCATGTTGTTTCACTCAGAGTAAAACAGAGCATCATCTCCAGATAGAAAGGAGTCTGCCTCATTGGATTCCTCCAAGAAATTCTTCTTGATATTATTTTCAACAGCTCTAGCTCTCCCTGTATTCTGTGCCTCTATGTCTATACCTTACTTGCCATTTTAGAGTCATGGTATTGTAGGAACTGAGTTCTGAAAGGGACTTTGAAGCCAGAATAGGTCCTCCAGTCAGTACTTACCCAGAGTTCTAGGAAACAATATGACTGCCCTTCCCTCCCTCGGTTCTACTGACTTCAAGGCAATATGAGACCCATTTAACACTGGTGCTGTCTAGAGATGGCTGTGACAGACTTGCTCCTCGGTGGTCGTAATCATCTATGCAGTGGAAGGCTTGGATCAGGCCTGTGGTTCAGAGAAGTTACGGCTTCCTTTCTCCATAGGGGAGAGTTTGGAGGCCCTTCGTAGATGAGGATGGAGTATCCTCCTCTCTTTCACCTCCACTCACTCACCTAACCAACTCTGGCCAGGAATTAGTTGTGTGTTATCAAACCACCTCCTGACCCTAAGGCTCAGCACACCAGCTCTGCCCTTGGGACAGTGCCAAGGCCTCTTTAATAACAGGGAAGGAAGCGAGTGTGACCTTGGAGACCTGAGGGCCCCAGTGTGGCAATTAGAATCAACTGACTGGCTCTCCAAGTCCACAGTTCTCCATTCCCCAAGCTCTGCTCAAGCCAACGCAATCTCATTCCGCATTCTTAGTACACAGCTCTTCATCTGGCTCATGCAACTCAGCCAGGAAAGATTCCTCCTATTTCCCAATGAGCATCAAATTCTCATCTTCAGTGGGACCAAATTCTGTGCCTTGCTTGGTGCCTTCGCCATCACCCCAACCCA